ATAAAGTTGATTAAAAATCTAAGTCTTGATTCTGAAGGTAAATTAAATMTCTGACAGTGATCATTACACAGTGTGGCTCTAACTCCTCACTTCATCATCTGTGTCGCAGTTTCACGTCTCCAAAATGAGCGTACGCATGGGTCAGAGCTGGCTGAGGCACCGCACATTTTCACGTCAAGTTTGGATTTTATAAATCACAACCTTGTCCTGAAAAGTGGCGTACGCAAGTTTCTGGGCTCAAATTGTGCACACGCCAGTTTTATAAATCCAACCCCTGGTCTTTTGGTAGAAGTTCAAAGATTCAAGTGCAACCTTTCAAAAGTAGTGAGATATCTTACACCTCTTATTATGAGTTTTTGTTACAGTAAAGTGTCTGTGTGTGCGCATGCAAATAATGTGTTCAAAGTACACTTTTTTATAGTACACTTTGTAACCATCCCCTATAATAATAACTGTCTTGYTTTTGTTTTGTTTTGTTTTTCCTGCAGGTTTTGCACCACCATATAGCCTCCGTGGAGAAGCTAAGTCTGACCACCACGGGCTGCCCGCTGCTCATTCACTGCCGCAACTTCAGAGTGGTTCATTTTGTGCTGCAGAGGGAACGAGACTGCCACGACATCTACAGCTCACTGCTGCGTCTTTTACGGCCAGGTGCTCGCCACTGTCTGCACGTTTGTGTGTGTCTGTGCGTGTGTGTTTGTCTGTTGCTCATTAAGTCGAGTGCGATCTTGCACGGCCCATCCACTTCTTCTACGTAAATGTCATATTTGTTTTTGTCAGTAATTTTGAGGCATTTCCCTTGGGTTTTTGTCTCACTTTAGTGTCCTATGAGGAGCTCTACGCGTTCTCCTACAACCCCAAACAGAATGACCAGCAGCGGGAGGAGGGATGGCAGCTCATCGACCTGGGAGCAGAGTTTGAAAGGATGGGTGTCCCCAATGACCAGTGGCAGCACACTGATGTCAACAGAGACTACAAGGTAGATAAAAATTTCATTGTTCTTGATTTGAGACGCCACAAACTGAAGTCAAACCTGAAGTCCACTTCATGTAAATTTATTATTGCAGTTGTAAACTCTGCTTAAATACAGTCCGAATTGTCACAATTTTCAGGCAAGATTACCTAGAAATTCCCTTTTTTTCCGACATAAAAAGTAAATAAGAGGCTGCGGCAAGTGAACAGGTGTAAGGTAGCAGTTTAGTAAATTCATTTTAAAATAGAAGAAGGCAATTTAAAAAATCCAGTTAGTRATACTCATACAAAAAACAGACATGACAGTTTAATCGTCACTTTTTGAACTTTGGCATCATTTCTGTGTGTTACAAACTCCACCTTCCTCAAAAAAACAATGGACTTGGGACTCTCCCTAAGTCACATGTTTACTTTGCTGTGAAGCTTTGCGGTGCTGCCAATGTACCGACTACGAACAGTTTAATATGCTTTGCTGTTGCTTACTCAACAGTCATGTTGCTGAATGTGCTTCCTGGGCTCCTGTGTTTAAAATCTGTTAGGAATTATTTTTGAATAAATCACTTATCATGGCAGACACTATGAAAACAGTGAGCAAGGAGATCCAGGAGAGGGCGATAAGGCTTCACTTTTTTTAGCTCCCACTATCTAAGTGACATTAAAACAAGCCTTGTGTCAGGGCTGCTCAACTAAATCGCTCCGAGGGCTGGGCTTTCTCAGAGCCCACTGCTCGGGGGGCCTGACATCTGGGGTGTGTGTGTGTGTGTGTACTTGTTTTTGTTACCTGTTTAGGACCATTTCCGGTATACACACTAGGGCTGCAACTGAAATGCTTAATTACATGAATATGAGTAGATATAAATTAATTTCATTCATGTATAAATCAGGGATGCAAGTCATTGATTAATTAATTAATTTGAAGTTGATTTATCTTATGCATTGACCAACAATTAATTGATAAGCAGCCATTTTCTTAAAAAACAGTTTTTTTTCTTGAATCAAGAGGGTCTTTTCATAAAATGAAGGATTTTTTTATAATCTAAAAAACAGAAGCACATCATAAATATTTTAACAATTTATTTTGCCAACTGTGTTAAATACTGACTGAAAAAAATGTGTATTTCTCATACATGAAACATAACAGAAATTTAATAGGTTGCTGAATGAGGAAAATAGATTAAAAGAATAAAATGTGATTTTTAGATGTAAAACTATTATTAATTTATTATAATTAGAAATTATTTACATTTATAATTTTTCTCTAATTCTTTACTTTTTGCTTCCTTGTTTTTGGTTTTGTCTGACTAAAGCATTTTTTGACCAAGTAAACTGTTCTGAAGCAGCCCCCCTCCGCCCTCCTCCTCTACTGAGTCAGACCAGCTGCTCGCCTCTTTTTTTTTCGTTCTGAACCTTTTCGCTGCTCAACATATAAATATGAGCCTCAGTCATAAAAAACTGGAGGGTTTTTATACTTTTGGCCTGAGAGGAGGAGGAAACAAATGGTGGATTTATGTGGGCCAAGGTGTGAACTGAGTTTAGGTCAGTTTTAGGGTCAGTTATGTACCTGTGAGGTTAGCCTTAGGGTTGGTGGTCAGGGTTAGGCTGTAGAAATTACTGGAAATGAATGGACGTCAATGAACGGTCCTAATAAGGATAGAAATACAAACCTGTGTGTGTGTGCCCAGTAATGGTAGGTGAAACACTGCAGCATGTAACAAGTATTAGCTTTTACCTATTTACATTTATTTTGCTGCCTTGAAACGTACATTTTAAATTTACAAATGATTTGAAATCTATTTCTATATTAAAAAGAAAACAGAAAATACAAAGAAATGAAATTTTATAAAATGGAGGGGCTCATTAGCGGGCCAGATGGAAGCCACCCTTGGGTCACATCCGGCCCGCAAGGCCACCAGTTGAATAACCCTGCCTTATGTTCCGTACCTCGACCGAATCATTCTGATGATACGCACCTAAAAACATAACATAACCTGTTGTGTTTGGTGATGCTCACACATTTCCTTTTTATCTTTTTAAATGTCTCTTTCCAGGTGTGTGAGACATATCCACGTGACCTGTACGTCCCCATCACAGCCAGTAAGCCTATCATCGTTGGGAGCTCCAAGTTCAGAAGCAAAGGACGCTTCCCAGTGCTCACATATTTCTACCAAGAGAAGAAGGTACTTTAAGAACTAGAGAGTACTGTCTGCTTTCACCATTTTTAATGATGTCATACTATAAAATAGATATAGTGAAACTGAGTTTTTGAGAAGAATAAATCTACTTTTAAAGGAAGTTATTGAGGTTTCTTGTCGTAGTTTTTTACTGTAGTGAATGGATACAAAAAGTTAAAAAAAGGCAAACTATGAGTGACATTTGGATGAAAAATTGGACGGGAATGTTCAACTCAACATTGTTTGGTAACAAAATGGCAGACTGGAGGAGACAACATTAACCTTAATTTTCTAAAACATGCAGTTAATGTGGTTTCAGGAGTCCCACCTGTACTCTCTGCCCTACGTAATGATCCTTTAATTTCCTTTAAGTTTGATTGTAAAAAAAAAAAAAAGAGCTAAAGTTGATCCGATGTGTGTGTTGTGTGACAGGCGGCAGTGTGTCGCTGCAGTCAGCCTCTGTCTGGGTTCAGCGCCCGGTGCCTGGAAGACGAGAGCATGCTGCAGGCCATCAGCAAGGCCAACCACAACAGCCGATTTGTTTACGTCATGGACACAAGGCCGAAGGTAAAACACATGCCATATGTTCAGGACTGCTGTTTTGTTTTTGTTTTTTTTGTATTTTCTTATACCAATAATTGTCAGTTATAACTTAAGTAAATGTAGCGATTTAAAAAAAATTTAATCTTTCTTTTTTCTGCAGCTGAACGCGCTGGCTAACCGAGCAGCAGGCAAAGGCTACGAGAACGAGGACAACTACTCCAACATCCGCTTTCAGTTTGTTGGGATTGAAAATATCCACGTCATGAGGACTAGCCTGCAGAAGCTGCTTGAAGGTTGAACAGTTGTTACTGCACACACACACACACACACACACACACACACACACACACACACACACACACACACACACACACACACACACA